CTGAGAATCAGCTTTTAACATTCATTAATGGCTGCCCTTACTACAGAGGCATTCATTAATGAAAGGGTTAACCTTTTTCAGACACCCGATACCTTAATATCGGGTGTCTGAGAGTCAAAGCAAAGCGGACACAGATGCCGGCTTTTGCCGGCATTCTGACAGCTCGTATAGATCGAGAGATATCTCTCTCAAGCTATACTGGCTTTTTTTTTTTTCTTTCATGAATAGATACAAAATGTGTCTATTCCTACAATGTATCTATTCCTGGAAGAAGAATGTTTGTTTGCTGATCGTTGTTGCAACAATCAGAAAACCTTTAGTAACAGCTGAATCCTGAACTGCTGCAGGATCAGTGTCACTAACTTATTATCGGCTGTTCTGAAGTTTGAAGCAGCCTGATAATAACCAAAAATTTATTAATTTATCATGCAGTAACAGTGAGATTAATTCACAAAATCGGCTTGATATAATTAAATAAATAAAATTTTTAAGTTAAAAAAAAAAAAGTGAAAAGTGTAAAAAAAAAAAAAAATTGTGAAAAGTGTAAAAAAAATAAAAAAATGTGTAAAAAATAAAATAAAATAAGGGACAAATAAATGAATGTATTTATTGCATTTTTTTAGCTGTGCTGGTTTTGTAAAAAAAATACTACAAATCAAAACTGGGAAAAAAGTGTTTTTTTTAAACGGTTTTTTCCTCTTTTTTTATATTTTATTTGTCCTAAGTGAGGCGTTAGACGCACATATGTGATATAAATATGTAGCCCTATCTGTCCTCTAAAAAACAATATATAATATGTGTGGGTGCACTTTGTAAGAAAGTATATTACTGACGTGGAAGAATCACACAGCAAAAATATCAAAAGTGTGTCAGTCATTTACGAACAGAAACTAAAAACAAGCTCAGTCATGAAGGGGTTAAAATGTGAAATCTCCTGGGACATTATATATACAATTTGAGAGTTGAATAGAAGGAGGTATTTATATATTAATAAAGGTGTACAATGGTGCTCTAATTTCAAGGAGCACAGTCACATACCTCCTTTCAGGGTCCAGGAACACATAAGACAAAATACAGTTTAAAGATTTGCAAATTCAAATTGATACCCCTCTAGCATATACTCAGTATGGAGCATGTTTTGCTCTCTTGACCCTAGGCCTTTTCAGGTGACAACATTATGCCACCTGTCAAGCGTGTCTTGCAGAAAATGGAGAGGGCGAAAATGCTCAAACATGGTAGCTCTTTTAAATTTGGAGTTCAAACTAACTGTACAACAATAGATAAGATTAAATGAGGGTGCAGGAAGGGAGGAGAGCTCAGCCTCCTGTGACAGCGCGGCCCGTCTCCGCCCACACACCGCTGTGATAGGAGGCTGAGCGGTGTGGGAGGAGACGCCGGCCGCTCGCAGCGCTGACCCTGGACCCTTGTGGGTCCTGGGTCAGTAACGAGTTCCACAAAAATCAAAAATCACCAGTTCAGGCCCCCCTCTCTGGAAGGCCTACGACACGGATATTTTTCCAGCACATCTTGTTCTCCGCATCCTTGACTTGATCTGAGAGTAACTTCACTGCACACTGAAGTTCAATAATAGTGGTGTTATGAGTGATAGTGGTATCCTCCACCACTGAAATCCTGCTCCGTCTCAACCCCCTAGATTTTGCTGAGATCCTGGCTTACAAGGGTACACACAAACATTTTTGTCATGAGTGTGAATGTATGTGTTTTGGGTGTCATCTGACATATCTGCAGACACTGGTGAAACAGATCTCAGGCTCTGAGAGGATTCTGCCATAGTGTAGTTGGTCTGTGTGATACTACAGCACATGCAAGGTCTGCAGGTGCCTGAGCACACAAACAGGCTATGGGCCTGCTTTTTAGTCTCAGCAAGCAGTTCCTGCTTTTTCTGGAAAGCATATCTTGTGGTCTGGCAGCTCTTCTATAGGAAAAGATATAAATATATAGATATATCTCTTTATATATAGGTTCACTCTCGAAAGCTTGTCTTGTATATATTTTGTTAGTCCAATAAAAAAGGTATCATTGCACACTGCAATACTGCGTTTTTGTCTTTTTTGATTATAAATATATAT